ATACACGCATACACGCATGCACGCATACACGCATGCACGCATGCACGCATGCACGCATACACGCATAATTGGTTATTCCTCTTGTTGTTTTTGTTCACTTTATAATGAAGCAGCACATTATTTATTGATTGATTGACTTCGTCATTTTAAGATCATTGGCTATTTCCAAGGGCGGATCCAGGATTTTGTTCAGGGGACGGGAAGTGCTGCGCACAAAATTTACTCGGAGGGTGGGGAGGGGGTGCATCCCTAAGAATCAAAAGGAAAAATCAGTATTGGTTACTTCGAAATAGGGGCACAAAGTCTAACGAAGGGGGGGGGGTGGGGGGGGGGAGGTAGGTGCGCTACCCCTGCTTCCCCCTTCGGGATCCGCCCCTGATTTCTCTTGTTCTTATTGTTCAATTCGTCATGAAACAACACAATATTTATTTATTGATTGCCTAGAGACAAAAACCTTTACTTTTAAATCCAAGACTGGTTAGAATCATTCGACATTTTGCTTTACCGTAGTCTAATAAGTGCAACCTAAGTTTGGGCTCGATGATAATTCCATCAATTTAATCGATTTATCATCATAGTTTACAAACTGTCGTTATTTTATGCTTAAACATTATGAATATATCAAATATAAGGTAATCAAAACAAAGCAAACAAAGAAACAACAAAGAAACAGTGATTAATGATTCTTACCACTGTGATGAAAAAAAGTTAAAAAAAAGAGGCAATTTTTCAGGCACACACAAGAGAAGAAGAAAACGAAAAAGTTTTGTTAATATTATTAGTGGAAAAATGTTTGGTACCTTTAATCTTCATGGCTGCAATACCAACGAGGCAGATGAGGACCCAAGACTGTAACGAAATCATTTTTGTTTGACCACGGAAAGATGAATTATGTGAATAGGCTAAAAAGAACAGGAAAATAAAGTTAAAAGTTAATCTCATCATACCTTGATCTATCCATTCATAGCACCACCATTATCGTGAAATGAGTGAAGTTATCAAACCTAAAATTCAAGAGTATTTCTAGGGAACTGAATATCACTTTCGAGCTTCTGATGCCTGATGCCTGATGCCTGATGCCTGATGCCTGATGCCTGATGCCTGATGCCTGATGCCTAGCTCTCACTTTTATCGAAATTTGGCTCCGTTTGGTTATTCCTTATTCCTTATTCCTCGTTCCTCGTTCCTCGTTCCTCGTTCCTCGTTCCTCAGTCCTCAGTCCTCAGTCCTTAGACCTTAGTCCTTAGTCCTTAGTCCTTAGTCC